GAGAAGGAAACTCTTTTGTGCATATTTAACACTAAGCAATTTGAATCTCAGAGGCTATAATCATCTTCCCCAGTGTGCCATCAGTGAGTGAGGTTGGCTCCGAGAAGATTCTTTTAAAGAAGCCAAGAGCCATTGTGGGAAACAAGTCAGTGTCTGTTCCCAATTTATTAAAAAGCAAAGCTTTCTGGGTGTTCTAAGTATCTAAGTAGTTCATGAAGAGACATATCCTCTAAACTCATGGGAATATCAAGGAAGAGAAGGGAAAAAGATGGGAAGACCCAGAGGAGCAAAATGGCTACTGTGAGGTAGTGTCTTTGATGCTGTGATAAATGTCAGGGATGGTGCCGCCATGAGCTCTCAAAAGTATAGTTGCTTGCATGTGATCTGCACAGTAACCATACCAGCCAACATGCAATTATATATGGTAGAAAAGTTCATAAGGCCTTCCCTCTGGGTGAGGAGCTTACAGGCAATCAATAGATGTTGAGGGAAAGAGAATCAGCTTTCTCTAGGGATGAAACCCCTGACAGGTTTTCCAATCCTAAGTGGTCAGTTCTAAACACATGTACATCCAAGCAACACTAACTTAGGCTCAGTAGAGTGAGTGTGTGTGTGTGTGTGTGTGTGTGTGTGTGTGTAAAACAATCTAACAATAATAATTATAGAAGAGTAATGAATTCAAGATGAGGTAAGGGGACATGAGAAGAACTGGAGGGAGAAAGAAGGGTAGAAATGATATGATTATAGTGCATTCAGGCACAAAATTCTTAAAACAAAAGATTTTTTTAGAACTCCTCAAGCACAGCAGTAGTAATCTGGGCAGAAAGGTAACCACTCCCCACCACCACTCCCTGTCCCCACAGTAACCAGCTTAGTCACTTTTCCAACCCTTTCTTGCCCAGAGAGAGACATGCTGGTAGCTTGGTATATATGCTTCAAGACTACTTTGCATGAATTTCTATAGGTTTGTGAACATGCACAAATATAACAGGCTCTGATATTTGTGAACAAGATCTTATTGCATTTATTGCTCAGAAGGTTCAAGTTTTCACTTAACACCGCTCACTATGAAGCTTTTTCATCCTTGGGACACTCAGAAGGATGAGCAAGTAGATGCAGACTGTGGTTCAGGCCTCTTTGGCCACTTTTCACTAACATTTGGAAAGCTACAGACATTTTTAGGTCTTCATTTTCTTCATGAAAATGGGATTACATTTAAGAGTGCTATAGTATAGTGCAGTATAGTGGTATAGTGAGTCACAACTCCAACTTCTGTACTTAAGGGCTGAGGCAAGTAGATTGCCACGGAGTTGTGACAAGCCTGGCCTACATAATGAGTTCCAGGTCAGTATAGGCTACAGGGTAAGACTCTGCCAATAACAAAACAATAATAGGATCTGTGTTGGGGTGTAACTCAGCGTCAGGGCATTTGACTAACATGCATAAGGCCCTGAGTTCAATATCCTATATCCCCACTACACACACACATACACACACACACACACACACACACACACACACACACACACACACACATTCTGCCAGGTATAAAAACACATGTCTAAAATCCCAAAACTCAGATGTTGAATCAGGAGGATCGTGAGTTCCAGGCCTGCCTAAGGCACCTGAGCACCCAAATTTGCCTCAAAAATTAAAAAATGAAGAAAAATAAAATAAAATCACAATCATCACTCAGAGAAATACATGGTCATCTTTTAGTTTAGCTGAGAAACAATAGTCATAATATCCAGGAGAGCATGATATTTTTAAATTCAAGACTTAAATTCTATTAGATTTGAGCTAAGTCTTAATAAATAAGTTACTATCTCCCTGGCTTTTAATAGCAGTGACATGAGCAGCCAAAGAAAACCAGAAAGAACTACTTTTAAAAAAAAGTATGACTGTTATTAATTATAAGCATTTGATAGCTCAGCCAGTGTGTGTTGAAAAGATTTGGGAAATGTATGTGGAGGAGGGGAACAGAGTCAGCAATGAAAGCCAGATGGCTGAAAATGAAGGAAATTCCAGGCAATTTCTTCAGCTTTGTTCTAACATACTTCTTAAACTAAACTTTTATTTCTGTGCAACAGAGAACAGCTGAGTGATGTGGGGAGATAAACAGTGGAGGGGGAGCTCCTAATTCCAGGAATGGTATTCAGTCTCTTCCCTCTCCCTCTCCCTCTCCCTCTCCCTCTCCCCACCCCCTGTGCTATCCCTAATCTCTTTGCTCAGTCCTAAGATCTTTCTGAGAACCAACAAAAATAAAAGAATCTGAGAGTCCTTATTTAAGGGGAGTGTTGGGGCCACAGAGTCCTCTCTTTAAAAGCAGAGCAGAACACCCACTTTATTGTGCACCAACAAGACCCATGCACACTGACAGCACGTGATTGCCAGTTTCAACTTTTCTTTTATATTCACTTAAAATGGCCAGAGTGAAAGGTGTCGCCTTTTAAGACAGCCATGTTTTCATTGAGTTGATGGAGCTTTCAAAGCATCACAGGCACCCTGGTCCTGTTTTAAGGGCTGCTATTTCGACATGCTCTCTAAAGATTGGTTTATCTCCTGCTAGTTCCCTAAAGCTGCTTTTTGGCTCTGTCCATACTAACTTTTAAATTCATAAAGCAAAAGCACACCAAAGCTCACCAGCATCCGCAGACATTAAGTCCAGATTTGGAGGCCATGTTCGGGTGTCTTTGGAGTAATAACTCTTACTACCATGCCTTTTCTGGCGTATCCTGGTGTATCTTCCTTCTTTTCCCTTTCTTCTCCTGATAGGTCAGTTACAACAGAGTACCATGCTTCCTAATTGTTAGACTCACTGGATATGAGCCTGGGCCACTTCTTCACCAAGAAAGTTAGGATTGATCCAGTAACATTTTGATATCAACAGAAATGAAAATAGCATTGTGGGAAGGCTAAAATTACTTTGTACATATAGATTTCAACTTTGTGGAGCTGGAGAGAAAACGAAGCAACAAAATGTACCTTCTAAACATGTCATCTGAAAGAGTAGATGATTCATTCTAAAAGGTACAAACAACAGCTTTGAGGAAACCTCATCCATCAAGTCCGAAGAAGGAAGCCTTTTCTGGTTTCTTAACACCTAAATAATTAGACATCCCCTTAGACCACAAAACCCTGCCTAAACTCCATGAAGTCTTTTTTTTTTATTGGATATTTTATTTACATTTCAGATGTTATCCCCTTGCGCCCCCCCCAGCCCAGGAACCACTATCCCATCCCCCCTCCTCCTGCTTCTATGAGGATATCCCCCACCTACCCCCCACTCCCACCTCCCCACCCTCAAATATCCCCACACTGGGCATCCAGCCTTCATGGGACCAAGGATCTTCTCTCCCACCAAGGCCGTAAAGTCTTTATATAATAGACCGTCAACCACTGTTAGGTTTCTGCACAAAAATTAAAGCAGAGAGGATATTTACATTTTAATTCTGAAGCAGTAAAAATGAAACAGGCAGGCATCTTCAGGCCCTGCAGGCTGCTGATATCAGTGCTCAGAATGAACAGAACACAAAACCCCATCTTGAAGATGTTACCTATTAAGGGAAGACCTCAAAACAGCAATGGTTCCAAGGGAACTTGAGGCCTCAAGGCAGCTTATTCATGGAGGAGGTAGAGCCCATGCTGAATGATGAAGCATAAAAGTAGGATTCATCCAGGTGAAGGAAAGAGAACATGTTTCATAACAAAGGAAAGGACAAGAAGTAGGTGCCATAAAGAACAGGCAGAGGCCACACCCATGGAGGCCTCCAGTCCTAAAGGTACTTAGACTGTGTTTCCTACAGTAAGTGGAGCTCAATGAAGAAGCTTAAACAGGGTCATAAAAGAGCCAGTCTTGCTTGGATAAAGATGACCTGTGCTGACCACTCAAGACAATAAAACAGTGATGGCTAGCTTTTTTTTACCACCTATGTATCACACTTGTTTCTCATGTGGAATGAGAAATGGTATAGTCTGTGTAATATTTTCATTGACAAAAAGCAGTGCAAATATCAGCATTTTGTTTGCTCCCTCCAGTAACCCAGTATGTGTCGACTGAGCCTGTCAACCTGACAGGATAATGATGCCACAGGGAAGGGAGTCATAAAGGAAGTCGTGATCAAGCTAGCTAATGCCACTTGATCACGGAGGCCCTCTCAGCACTACCATCCTGGGATCCATCGAAGATAAGGATTATATTTCCTTCAGAATCAAAGTTTTGCAAATAAGAAAGAAAATATGCATGGTTTCTATTAGAAAAAAATATCACCTGGAATCAAATTTAACACATAGAAACATCTCTGCACAAAACAGTAACTGGTTTCCATGATAAAGAACCATAACCTGTACTGAGAATGCGATTTCACTTTTCATATGAGGCACTTAGGCCTGGCATTCAGGCCTTGAGGACAGCTACAGACTGAAATGGTAAATGTTTTCACAATACCTTAATTACACTTTAATGTGTGTGACGACTATAAAACACCCTGCATCCCCCTACTTAGAAGTTTATGATAAAGTATATGCCCTTAAGTTTATGCCTTTAAAGATAATCAGAATTTCTCTTTGTTCAGTCTCCATTGAATAAGTATTTACTGACTGTTTCCTGTACCAGGCATTGTGCTATAGTTATAGTCATGGACAAAACCTGCTTTGTTCTCTGAATCTGGGAATGCCAATTCTTAGAGATGGTCAAGGCCTTTTCTTTTGTGACTATTAGCTCGTTTGTTTGAGTTTTTGGTTTGGTTTGGTTTGGTTTGGTTTGGTTGCTTGAATTCTATCTGGGGCCTCAATCATACCATGTATGCTCAGTACAACTGAGTTAACCTCAGATCCATATATTTTAAACTCTGATGTAATGATTAAACATTGGGAAGTTTTATAGTTCAGAAATCTTACTACTTACAAACCAGTAAACAGAATTGAAGTGGCACCTTGAAAAGTAAGAAATTTCAAATTTTAAATACTTCGGCTTTCCAAACCAGCAATTTCTTTTTTTTTTTTTTTTTTATTTCGCCAACACTTTATTAAGAAGGAACCTATGTCAGCACTGCTATGTAAACAATGACAAAGATCAAGGGGAACACATCAGGGATCGTGTGGACAGTAATATACATTGTCCTTTTTATAATCAATGTTTAATAGTTAAGGAGAGTTTAGTCCTTATTAAGCAAACATTTTTGCATACACAGCCTTCTCTTTATCTTTCTGTGCCTTTATCATTTGTTTGACTTTAAGCAATTCTGCCTGGATAGCTTTATCTCCTGGGGCTATCTCCTGTGCCTTCTTAAGATCAGCCAATGCTTGATCGTATTCTTTTAATCCTTGCCATCCTTGCGCTTTTCGGTATAGTGCTTTAGTATTCGAAGGGTCCATTTCAAGAGCCTCCAAGCAACTGTCAATTGCCCCCTGCCAATTTGACATCTTCAATTTACAAGCACCAATATTCAGTACACAACTTAAGGCTATAGGTTGCAGTCTGGGTATATCTGCTTTCTCAATAGCAGCCTTTGAACTATCCACATACCTTAAAACCTTTGCATATTTTTTAATAGCCATCTCCCAGTTCTGAGACTTGAAAAAAGTATTTCCAATGTTTTTTAAGTCTTCAGATATTAATAAAATTTTATCTACATCTTTTACATCTATATCCGCATCCTCGGGGAAGTCTGGATGACTATCGCCAGAGCCATCTTTGGGGAATATTCCCCAGTCATCCCCTTCCTTCAGTTCTCCACATTCTTCAATGACACAGAGTTTGGCAGGTTTTTCACCATTCACTTCTACCTTTTCAAGCATCCTTGCCACACCGAGTCCTTTTATTACTTGACCAAATACCACATGTTTCCCATCCAAATGAGGAGTTGGAACTGTTGTGATAAAGAACTGAGAACCATTCGTATTGGGGCCTGCATTTGCCATGCTCAGCAAACCCTCTCGATCATGCTTATAATGAAAATTTTCATCTTCAAATTTTTCACCATAAATACTTTCTCCACCTGTCCCATTCTGATTTGAGAAGTCTCCACCCTGAATCATAAATTTCTTAATAATTCGGTGGAAAGGGCATCCTTTAAAATGGAGAGGTTTCCCAGTTGTGGCACCAGTTCCTTTTTCTCCTGTACACAATGCACGAAAATTTTCTGCAGTTTTGGGAACAATATCTGCAAACAATTCTAAAACAATTCGTCCAGCTCGCTCCCCGCCGATGTCCACGTCAAAGAAGACTCGTGGGTTCTTGGAATTGGAGGGCTTGGCTGCTGGGGATGGGTGGGACATCTTCACTGCAGGCGCTGAAAGCAGGAGCTTAGTACCTCGTGCGCGAGTGGGGCCAAACCAGCAATTTCGAAAGTCCTGGAGGTAATGGCAGTCAAAAGATTTGTCCAAGGCTTTTGGACAATATTTGAAACTTTAACAATATTGAAACTTAAGGGAGTCCTCAATTAAATGCTTTCTTTTACAAGAGTTGTCTTGATCATGGTGTCTCTTCATAGCAATACAACAGTGTCTAAGACAAACTCCAAGAGGACACTTGGCAATGCTGAATATTCTGCATCAGAAAAGAGAAGATTCCTTAAAATGAAAAAAAGAAGGATGAGGCTTTGAGTTCAAACAAATGCTGTGATTCTTGTTTTCCTTGTGGCCTAAGGATGCTACTTTTAGTTCCTGTATGTCTCAATCCCCATACCTGTCAAAGATAATCATTCTGACAACAGAGGTGGGGGGCATTGTAAGGATAATCATATGGAGCACAAAGATGGCCTCAATAGCAGTCAGGGAAACAAGGAACTTCCTCCCAATCCCTAAGCCTTATGGTCTATGACCTTGTGCTTATTTCCTACTCATTGTAGTTTTCCCTAAAATTTCTTAACCAAGTAGTAACATGAGCAAAGTTAAGGGAATCTATGAATAGAATATCCCATAGCTTATGGGGGCCATTCTTATTCAAACCATCATAGTGCTTGTCCTGAATAGAAAAAAGTGGCTATACTAGCAAAGGAAGCAGGTCTCCATTGTGTCTACAGATTCTTCAGAAGGTAGAACCTATTGGGTTCTAGAACCTATTTGACATTGTTATTTAATCTGATATGTGTATTTTAAGTACCTTAATGAGATGAAGAAATTTCAGTATCCCTGACTTAGGCACTGTTTTATTGCTATAAAGAGACAATAGGACCAAGGCAACTCTTTAAAAGAGAATGGAGGTGGGGGACATTTTATTGGGAGGTTGCTTACAGTTTCAGAGGGTTAGTCCATTCTTATAATGGTGGTACTGGAGCAATAATTGAGAACTACATTCTGATCCATAGGCAGAGAGAGAAAGAGAGAGAGAGGGAGGGAGGGAGGGAGAGAGAGAGAGAGAGAGAGAGAGAGAGAGAGAGAAGACAGACAGAGAGAGGAAAAAAAGGAGACAGAAACAGAGAGACAGAGATAAAGAGAGAGACAGACAGAGGCAGAGAGCGAGAGAGAGAGAGAGAGAGAGAGAGAGAGAGAGAGAGAGAGTAGGTCTTGTGTGGGCTTTTGAAGCACTTCCTCCAACAAGGCCACACCTCCTAATCCTTCTAATCCTATCAAAGAGATCCATTCCCTCATGACTAAGCATTCATGTATATGAACCTTTGGGAGCCATTCTTACTACTCAGATCAAACCACCAGAAGCCCTGAACATAGTAATGTCTTAGGAACTACAACAAAGAGGGCAGGGAGTCCTTTTGGCAAGTAAGATGACGGCAGAGAATGAGCAGTGTTGTCCTGACAGAGGATCCTGTGATAAGTCAGAACATAATGAGGTTTGTATAAACTGTGGTATTTCTAGCTGGTTGCTCCATAAACACATATAGAAGGGAATAAGGAAGGTAGAAAGAAAAGGAAAACAGAGCAGAGCAGGAGAACAAGGGAAATCCAACTGTTGTGTAGCCAATACCCTGAGCCTGCCTTTGAGTGAGATACAGTTTTCTAATGCTTACATCTGTTTGGTGCAATCAATATACCAGAGATGGTATTTTAGTTACTCTTCTGTGTTTGTGATAAAATTATCATAACCAAAAGCAACTTCTTAACAAACTTGTTTTCGTTTATGGTTCCAGAGAGCTAAAGTCCATAAAAGCAGAGAAGGCATTTCTGCCAGCAGGAAACTGCCTGATCACACCTTTATTCACAATACAGGAAGGACAGAGGGAAAATAGGAAGTGGGGTGATGCTATCAGCTTTACAGCCCAATGCCAGTGATGTAATTCCTCCACTATGGTGGCACCTTCTAAATGTTCCATACCCTCTCCAAACACTGTCACCAACTAAGAAAAGTGCTTAAATACGTGAGTCAATGGGTCTCATTAAAGTCACCACATCAGGCGTGGTGCCAGTCTCTTAGTATATGCTATAGTATGCAATTTCCCCGAAAATTTATGATAAACCTATTTCTTGGTCTGCCTTTAGATATGAGCTAAATATGTCTTCAGAGCGGTGGTTCTCAACCTTCCTCATGCTGTGATCCTTTAATACAGTTCTTCATGCTGTGGTGATGCACAGCCATGAAATTATTTCATTGCTACTTCATAACTGTAATTTTGCTACTATTATGAATTTTAATGTAAATATCTGATATGCAGAATAGCTGATATGAGAGCCTTAGAGGGGTTGAGGCCCATACATTGACAACCACTGCTTTAAAGACGTATAACCCCCAAATGGCAGGTCCAGATTTGGCACAGGGTATAGGAGGATTTGAGGGAGAGACAACTGTCGTCAGGATGTGATGTATGAGAGAAGAATACATAAAATTTAAAGAAAAAAAGAGCTTGGGGTCAGTCCCTTTATTGATGATAGATATAGACCTATCCATCAATACAGCTGCTTCCTTCCCTATTTCAGACACTCCATAGAGGCCCAGGAATTACTCTGGGAAAAGTATCAACATTAATTGCCTGTAGCCCATAACCCAGTAAAGATCACTAACAATTCACAAGGTTTTCTTTCTTCATCTCACGCTTTGAGTTACCAAGAACAGAGCAAGCTCCTGGAGAAGGCTTGTGCTAAATGGGATAGAGTCAAAACTTCATCAGAGCCAACACTTCTCAGGGCAAAGCCAAACCCTTAGGAAATGAAGCGTGTAAAAAGAGCTCAAATAGACCTAAGTGAATCCTCTAAAATCCAATGCTGACTCATTAAGCAGAGAACTCCTTTCCCTTGAAAAAGAAAAAAAGAAAGGAAGGAAGAATGAGTCATGAAGAAAGATGCAGCCTTGGCTGAAAGATGCTGTGAACTATCTTGGTGCTTTGAAGTTTTGTTCTGCCGTCACAACCATTGCCTCAATGTGTCCTGAACTGGTGTCTGCTAATGTAATAAAGTATCACCACCTTCTGAGCATGTCCATGCATGAATACACACACACACACACACACACACATACACACACACACTTTCCTCCTTTCAAAACTAGGTCTCTGCCTCCTTCTCTGTGCCATTCTTTTTAATAGTTTGCTAGTACCTCCTTCCTCTCTCCCCAAGAGGCTTATTTTCATCCACTTTGCCTCCTAGCTATCCAGATTCCTAGATGGCTCTTCTACCTATCTACAAAGCACATTATTCCAATTTCTTTCCCCCTCCCCAGACATTCAGTTCAATTCAACTAAGTAATAATGATGATGATGATAATATTGCAAACGTGCTTAAGATGATAAAAAAAACTATGATGTGCATTTCTCACCTCACACTTACTCCAGCCTTAAGACTCTGGGCTTGCACAGATTAGGGTTAAGGTTCAGTGTGTATGAATTTGCCAGCTGCTTGGCTGCGGAGAGCTTGTGTAACTACAGAACTCATTTTCTTCCTCTTTAACCTCAAAAGGGCCGTTGTGAGGATATGAACCTTAAGTGCTCAGTGCAGTGCCTAGCATATATTAAGTTAACAGGTATTAAATTGGGATTTCGTGGGAGGCAGGTTTATATATCTCTATAAGGAGCAGTCCCTATTTAGAGGAAGTAGGCAATTTTTGTGGACTTCACAAAATTGCAGCTCTTGAGAATGTCTGATCCAAAAGTATCCCCCAATTAACTCTAGCCCTTGGAGGGTAGCAATTTTCTGCTGACTAAAGGAAAACCCAGCTTAGTTCAGTGAACTTTTTTTTTTTTAACTCTTGCTCTGCTATTGGCTCTAGGTATAAAAAAAAAAAAAGTCTGAGACATAGATACTGGGACAGGCACTAAAACTGCACTGGGAGGCCAGTACACAGACTAGCACCATGCAAGATATAAGTGTCATGGGCAGAACATGAGCAGGTAGCATATCAGAGCTGAACAAACAGTCTTCTCACTTAGTTTAAGGAAGGAACCACCCAGAGAATTCTCTTATTACTACAGATGTAAGAGGTTTTTCCTAAAATTCTGATCAAACATACTATTAGCATACTCTTCCCTACACCCTGAGAATCTTGAAATAGATTTTTCCAACACCCTCAGGATCATTTGTACCTGGCCATGTGCCCTTTCACGGTCCCACGTAAGCCTTAAATTACTTGATCCTCCTGGATAAGGCTCCCTATAGTTATGCTTAATAACTAGGGAGATGACACAGGAATTGTTGCTGTAACAGAAATTACAGAAACTGGTAAAAGTAGATCAATCAGTCTATTGAAGTTCTCCTGGACCTCTGTCCCCATGGACACCATCTGCCCATCACTCCCATCCTTCCATGAGTTCTCCTGGATGGTCGGTTGCTTCAACCAGCTTTATTATGTCCTAAGGTAAGAGAGGGACTTAGCATATAAAGCATTTCATTTACCTCGTATCATGGGGGGGATTGTGGGAAAACAGCAAAGTAGCTTGGCTCGTGCTGACCCCTACCTAGTCATCATCCTCAGCTGTGAAGTCGGGCATCATGAGCTCTTGAGCTAAGAACATCTGCCAAAGCTCTCTCAGCTCTGTGAAGCTTAGGGTTGTACGACTGAAAGGTACAGAACTATCATTCTCTAATCTTCTTTGAGCCATTCCTTCATCCCTTGCCATGTGAGATATTTCAGAAGGTCGGTTTTCAGGGCCCCTGCTGTCTGATCCACCTTCCAAGGCCATTCATAATGAGAGTGTCATTGGACGCTTTGCCTAACACAGGGGGTAGGGACAGTGTCATGGACACATTTGTTTAGAAGTCAACCTTTAAATTGTTTTAAAATTTAAAAAGTAAAAAAAAAGAGTCAGGCCGGGCTGTGGTGGCGCACGCCTTTAATCCCAGCACTTGGGAGGCAGAGGCAGGTGGATTTCTGAGTTTGAGGCCAGCCTGGTTTACAGAGTGAGTTCCAGGACAGCCGGGGCTACACAGAGAAACC